TATTTTTATTATTACAAATCTTTTATTACATGTCGACAGTACAACATATTCGGACAAGCCGAAGTATCTTTTACTACAAATCTCATAGTGCATCTCGATAACGCATAATCGGGCAAGAATGAAAAAAAAAAAGAGAGAGGCGGAGCGCGAGGATGAGAATCCCTGCGGCGCGTTCGGCGGGAATTTTCCGTCGGCGCGGCAACGACGGTTGGCGGCCCTGTCGCCTCGCGGGGCAAGGCTCCACGGGCGACGGCTGCTCAGTTAGGGATCTCGGTTGCATCGTGTCGGTTCGCAGGCCTACGCGCGATCGCAAGCGTACGAGGGAGAGTCAAAGCGCGCTCACACCCGCCGCGCTCCCTCTCTCTCTCTTCCTCTGTCTCTGTCTAGTCTCTCTTTTTCTCTCACACACTCTCTCTCTCTCTCTTTCTTTCTCCCTGCACCCTGCGCCGCCCATCGGCTCGGCTCATCGGCTGTCGCGCTGCGCCGAGGTGACTAGGGAGAGTCTCGTCGGAGCGGAGTTTTCGGCGGTCGCGGACGATCGGAGGGTCACGTTTCGCCTCCGCGCATCGACCGTGCACAGTGCACACGCACACAGTGGCGCAACCAGGAGACCCGGAGCAACCCGGACTCGAGGGAAGGAACGAACACGACCGGAAGTAGGAAACCCGTCGTACGGCGGACGTGCGCTTTTATACCTCCCTCCTACCATCGTGCTCTCCCTGTCTCTCCCCCATCGTGCTCGCTCGTTCTCTCTCCCTTTCTCTCCGTCTCTCTCTCTCTTTCCCTCTCTCTCCCTCGCGCTCTCGCGCGTTCTCTCCTCTGTCCCGCGTCGGTTCTCTCGTCGACGGCCGTCGGGTCGCGCCGCGCTGTGCCGCACCGCGTCGTTGTCGTGCCGTGGTGTCGTGTCGCGCTCCAAGAGAGAGCCGAGAAGAGCCCGTCGCTATACGCGAGCCGCGCCTCCTGGACGCGCCTCGCGGCCGTCGAGAAACGGCCGTGTCGCCTCCCGCCCGGTGACAGTGACATGTGCTGCGTTGCTCCAGTGCTGTGCCCCGCTGTCGTCGCCGTGGCCGTATACCGGAGCAGCCTTCTGCCCGCTCGCTGCGCCGACTGTGACCGTGACTGCTGCCGTGCTGCTGCCGTTAACGCCGTGCTGCTGCCGTCGCCGCCGCCGCCTCGCCGGAGCCGCCGTTGCCCGTCGCCGTTGCCGTTGCGACGCGCCTCGTCGACGATGCCTCCGCCCGCGAGATGCTGTGAGTGATTCGAAACACGCATTTAGTAGCATACGATTCCTCCGAGCACCAAGAACGAGTATATCCCAGGACGAACGGCGACGACGTCCCTCCGCCGCGCGACTCGGAGCCGACGGCCGCCGAGCGCGCGGCTCCGCTCGGAGCCCTCGCCGATCGTCCTCTCGCGTCTACAAATCCTCAAAGAAGTCGAGGCCCTCAACGGGGAATCTCCGTTCAGCCCGCGCTTTTCCCCGCCTTTTTAATTCTCTTCCTTGCTCCGGATTATTTGTGGTCGAGATCCGCGCGCTCGACTTCTCTCTTCCCCTTTCCCCCCTCGTTCCCCCCCGTCGCGAGATATACGCTCGCGGTGCGTGGAATAATAATTTCTCCGCCGCGCTTCTGGTACGCGGAACGCGCGTCGCGTACCGCTCGGCTTCCTCCTCGCCCGTTAATCCCCGATCCGCTGATCGGCGGATCCGAGGTCCGTGGCGCGGAACGCGAGAGCGCGGTGGAACAACGCGAGGCGCGAGGGACGTTTTCGTTCTTTTCTTTTTCCGCGCGTTTTCCGCGGGAACGAAGTTCCACCCGAGTCCACACACCCGAGGAAATCGCGCTCTTTATCTATCGATTCCCGCGGGGCGTACGTGACCGTCGACGACGCGGTCCTGCTCGCGGCCCGACGGTCGGCGCCTCGTCGCGGCAAAAACGCGAGCGCGACCGCGAAAAGTCCCGTTCCCCGTGTGCATGGAGGTTCCCAAGAGCGATTCGTCGAATCTCTCTCTCGCCCCCCCGACATTTCAGATTTTCAGGCGCGAAGAAGCGATACCCGCCGCCGGAGATATCGATTTTGGAAAAGCCCCCCGTCTCTCGTGCCCGTCGCTTCCCGGCAACCAGCGAGCCGGTCGTGACCGCCGAAAGAACGGCTTTGCCGAAGCGTCTAAAAATTTAGCCAGATATACGGATCTGGAAATAATCTTGTCGCACCGTCTCAGAATAATTACAGTAGGTCGCTGAAGTATGATGATAATGCTGTAAAAAATTTTGACGTTTTATTAGCAATCAATTCTACATTATTTTAATGGCGCAACAAAATTATTTCCAGATCTGTATCCAGCTAAATTTTTAGATACTTGCACGATCGTATCTCTCTCTCTTTCTCTCTCTCTCTCTCTCTCTTTCTCCGTACGCCATACGTCTCCTCGAAATCTCGTCGAACCGCGCGACGCGTGCCTCGGCCACGAGATGCCTGAATCGCGCCTAGAGCCGACGGGCGGAATTTTCGGCGCGTCGCCGCCGCCGCCGCCGCCGAGTCGTGGAGCACGTAAGTGTGTCGCGTAACAGTTGCCCGCGGAAGAAAACGCGGCGATCCGGGGCGAGCAGGCCGTTCCGAGACGATTGATCGTACACTAAGTGCGCAACGCGAGAGGAATCGCTCGGTAAAATCCATAATTTCTCTTTATTTCGAGAAAGAAGATGAAAACCGGTGATACGACTTGACGAGTTCCTCGCGGTTCCGAGAAAAAGACGCGAAAGAGAGAAAGAGAGACAGAGAGAGAGAGAAAGACAGCGACGTTATCATCTCACGAGATAACGTCGGGACGATCGCGAGGGACTGAAAGCCCGGCGGCGTAGGACAGCTTTAGGTCCTCTATTGATTCGTTTCTACCCTACTGACTCATTTACCACAATTTCGCCCAAACAAACACGAATCCCTCTCTCCTCCCCCCTCCCGCGACAGTACTTCCCCCCGCGACGTACGCGGAGCGCATTATTGTACTTCAAATGGCTCTTTTTCCGCGCGCGGCGGGGCCTCTCGGTCCTGGGCGACGACGAACGGTCCCTGTGCGCGAGCGACGCTAATGAAGGGACACCAGCAGCGGCGAGTTTTCGTCGGCGAAAGTGGAGTAAAGCTTTTCGATGGCGTTACTGCGCAGTAGGACGAGCCTGACCCCCCGAGTCGACGCTAACATGGTGGTTCTCTCCTCGCTCCGTCGTGAACCGCCTGCACGCCGCCGGCCGCCGCCGCCGCCGCCGGCTTTTCCGCCGCCTCGGGCCTTCCCAATCGGCATCTCGCGCGCGTTCCAGTCGCGGTCTCTCCCCCGGGCTTATCGATACCGACACCCGTGATTGTAATCGGTATATATGTATACGCGAACCGAGAAACCATTGCAACGCCATTTAGCCACCGCGAAACTGTCTCGTAACTCGGATATCGGTCGGAACGATACGCCGCGCCGGCTCGCTCATTGTCCGCGTTAATTAGATCGTTTCCAAGGTAAAAACTTCAACCTGGCCGCGCGCGCGCGCGCGCGCCGATCGGGAAACGTGAACAATGAGGTAAACATCGTGATCGAACTGAGCCTGCTGTGCTTCTCCCCGTACCCCGAGGAGTTCGAAACCAGTTGGACTAATCTCGCTTCATCGAATTTTTATAAGGCGAGTCGATAACTCGGTTATCAGGGAGTTCGGTGAGTCTCTCAACTTCTTCCCGGAAGATTCTCCTTAATTATTTTATTAAGGTAACGCTGTTTCCGCGGCTCGTTTACGTTTTTTTTTTTTTTTTTTTCGTAAATCACACGTGTTGATTGCGTTACTCCGTCTTATCGTAATTCCTAATCCGCGGGATGTGTTTGACTATACCGCCGAAACTGTATAAGCGCGAAATCGTCAAAGTGCGGGTGTATCTCGCGCGTCTCCTCACAAGTTACCAATCTTCCGCGACACTTTTCGAAAAATAAAATCGATATTCGGCGCTCCATATTTTTATATCATATCTCACCGTGTCGCGTGACGCGGTTTTATCCACTCATAGTTCATCCCAGCTTGCAACTTAGGCCTGGGAATTATAATTCGCGAGTCATAATTGAGCGTTATCTGGACCATTTGCAGGGAGAGACGTATACGCGTGTGTCGTCGTAAACCGCTACGTGGAGCCTACTACGCTCCGCGCGCGATATATCGTAAAGGGTTAAAAAGCGAATCAGGACGCACGCGATGCGCGCTCGCTCGCTCCGTGAGTCCACGTATACTCGTCAACACGTTTTACACGTTATATGCGCGACGTGTGCGAGGGACGGTAAACCAATCTTGCCGGCCGAGCATGGCTTCTCAAAGCCGTCTCGTTGGAAAAAGGAAAGAAAAAAGTAGGTTCCGCACGCCGGCGTCGAATTCAGCTCGAAATCTTTTTCGCTTCCACGACGCGCGCTAAAATTATTGCCCCTGCGTTCGAGTTCTTAATTGCGGCAAATAACATTCGCCTCATTTTGAAAAATGAAACAGGGAAAAAGAGGATTTATTGAAATAGGCTTCGACGTGGAGTCTAGGCGTTTTATAATAGCACTTTTCATGATTCTGTAAAAGAAAATATATTTTATGCGCGGCACGGCAAAAATAATTATGTTACGCGAAAAAGCGATACGCGCCTCGTATTAACATCGACGTGACTGTTGAATTTAATCCTATGCCAACTCGAATATGGCTCTCGCGTCGCGATTTCGCGATACGGAATCAGATGGCTGCATTTGGAATTATTACATTCGTATGCCGAACAGAAAAGAAGAAGTATTACAATCATCCTAGCAATTTGTTACAAATAAAATATGAAGCTGCGGAGTTTGGAAGATATGTAGATACATCGAGATAACGAAATGAATTAATGCGGAATTCGCGCGCAAGAATAAGTCCCTACATGCATTACGTTCGAAAAAGGTGCAAAAGGAGTGTCGGTTTATGAAGTTTCGATCTTCCCGCAAAACCCCTCCTCCAGATAAGTCCGATGGTCGATTTAACAAAACGTTATATAAATCGTCAATCGTGGGAGAAACCGCGCGCGATATCGATTTTAGCGAGCTTTTCGAAAGCGTTTCGCGTGCGTTGCGCGAAGATCTAAGCGCGCGATATACGCGATCCGTGACGTCATACATCGGAATGACGTGCGGGATTGAAGTGCGAGAGCGAGCTCGCTCGTTCGCGTTGCCGGCGCGATGGGACTCTCTGTTAGGCGTCGACATGATGGAGAGGCCGGCGGCGATGCCGACGACGTCGACGTCGACGTCGCGCCGTTGCAAGTAGGTCAACTGGACTCGTGCGCGCGGCCGAGGCGATGTTTGCGACCGCGAGACCGTTTCGCTGTTAGCGCAGCTAACAGAGAGACGATTTCGCCTTGGTGCATAGAGCGCCGCGCCGCCGCGTTTCACCGGTCCGATTTGACGACCCGCGTGTTCTACGACAGGTTGAGGATCAAACTCTCCGATTACGTAACGTTCCTGCCTTACCCTCTGTTAAATATATTAAAGGATTAAATTTAAATTGTTATCTTGAATTAGATAACATTTTGTTATTTTTAACTATCATGTGCGCCGTAATTTGTTGTTTTAACTACATTTAGTTAAATTAACGACATACTGAGTAGGAGCAGTGACGATCTATAGGAATGATTAAAAATGACTCAAATTGAGTATAATTTGACACTACGGATTTAACGTGTGTGTATCTTTTTGGCCATTAGAACGCGATCGAAACAAAGGTGCAACCGAGAGGCACAGAAGAACGCGAATGAAGTACGAATGATTCTCATATTCGAGAATTTGTTTAATCTATTAAAAGCCGAGCGCCAAGTTTGCATCAATCGAGATGTTTTTAATCACTGTTAAATATTAAAGGATGGAATCTAAGCCAATACCTTGAGTTAGATTATCGATAACATTCCGTTATCTTTAAGTTACCATGTTTGCCGAAATTTATTATTTTAACACAGAATAGTATTATTTTAACTCCGTTGGTTTAGTTAAATTAACGATATATTAAGTAGGAGTAGTGGCGACTTGTAAGAATGGTTCAAAATAACTCAAATTGAGTGTATAACTTGACACTGCGAATTTAACGGTGTACACCTTTTTGATTATTGGAGCAAGCGAAACAAAGGTAATATAGACGAGAGACACTGAAGAACGCGAATGAAGTACGAACGAGCCATATTCGAGAATATTTTTAATCTGTTAAAATCCCTATCTGCCAAGTTTGCATCGAGATGATTTGATTCACCGTAAATATTAAAGAATGAAATTTAAACCAATACCTTGGATAACATTTAATTATTGTCAATTAATACCGTTTTTAGAAGTGAATGTGTGTCGAAATTTATTATTTTAACAAAGCAGTATTATTTTAACTCCATTGCTTTAATTAGATTAACGATATATTAAGTAGAAATATATAGGAATGGTTAAAAATTACTCAAATTGAGTATAACTTGATACTACGAATTTAACAGTGTTGTTTACTATGAGATTTCCTGATTTTTAATAGCAACGTTAATTTCATAATTCTACAATGTCCTGTTATTTCTCGAATACATATATATATATGTATATTTATCAACGTTGCTCGACGAGCTTGTAGACGTAAATGGTGACTTTTGAATAACAGATGCGGCAATTATTCGTTACGTAGGCGTAATTTGCGGCGCTATTGTCGCCTGCTGTGGTTAGTTTTTGTATAAAACGGACACCGTGCGTTTCCTTAACGCACATTATCCCGGACGGAGTAATATTTCTCACCACGTTACTTAGCAACGTCTTTGGCAAGAGACGTTTTCCATCGTTGGGAACAATGGTGTTGGGTCAAGGTGGCGTCAGATTTGGCGAGCCGTTTTGAGAAATAGCTCGTTTATTTATATATATGGGATAATGACAATTGTCCGATTCGCGATGGATGATTAAGGAGCGCGACGTACACGCGTAATTGGACATATCAACAAGTACGAGCGCCACAACATAGAGCAAGCAGTATTAATTATGCACGCTTGGATTACGTTTACATTGCCATGGAAATACCGTCGATCGATGGCTCGTAGCCGGAGGGGGCGCGGCGCCGAGAGAGCATAGTTAGGAAGAATCGGGAAAACCCATAAGGAAGGCGCAAGAAAGTTATGGCTCTTTCAAACTTCCCTAAATAGGGTTTCAGTTTTGCCGAGATTTATTACGTCCTTCGGGCCGCGCATCTACAAGTAGGACCGACCCGGGTAAAAAGAAAATATGGATTTTCGCAGACTCGGCGAATAAAAGATCGTGGGAGTAATTAGCGTGCTTAAATCGCGAAATTAATTTATCAATTTCCTAGCCCTCGTTAGGCAAAAATTGCCAATAATCCGGCCGACGATTCGCGGCGAGCTTTCCGACGCTCTTGATTTGAAGGAGATCGTGATGAATGAGAGAAAAGGAGTTGGAGGAGGCTGTACGAATATGGGAATCATCGAGAATCACTTATCGCGATTAAAACGATAAAGCGCGTTATTCAATTTAATTCATTTATCGTGGAATTATTGTAGCGCGTTAATAATAAATTAATCTCGTATTAATATACATATTGCTAGGCGAAATTATACTGTTTATAATGTCTGTGCATAATATAGAGAATTAGCGTGCATGTGTGTATTATTAAATTTCTGATTAATGATTTATCTCCCGTTACTTTATGTGCCGATATGTCCTCTCAAAACGGCAGCTTAAACACGCCGCGGCACGAAAGAATTAATTGCACTTTGTGTTTTAGTGCCGTAATCGAGAGACTATACGCATGCAATTCGACAACATTGTTATCGTCGGAGATAGCGGACTACGGGCCCGGAATAATCTGCGAAGTGCGAGCCAGTTGATAATTCAACATTATTAAATGTCGTGATAATTTTATCACGGCGGATTATCAATATTTCCTCAGCAGCTTCTTTTTCCTCGAATAATAATCGATGGAGTCTTCGCGCGCGGTCCGCGTCCGGGGATCAAGCTTTTTCAAGTTTAGTACAAACTCGACGAGCTTTACTTTGTTAGGTATTCGTTAGAGGCTGAAATGGCATAATCTCGACTTTAATCATCGATGCTATATAAATATGCATTCGGGATTATAAATATGAAAAATGTATCGCGAGCCGGTTGATTATATACGATGATCATTATAAATATTTTTATGTCTCTCGCGTGTACTCATTGCTGTTTTAATAATTCAAGAACGTGTCTCGCGATAATCATAGTCGATAATAAACTAATATAATTTTTTTTATCGAAGAATCTACTGATGCGAATCCTGATAAAGTGAATCTTGACAACTTGTCGATGTCATAATGACATTTAATCATGGACATGTTCGATAATTAAAGAATCCACGAATAAGACATTAAATTAATACGGAATACCGCGGGTATTCTGAAAAGAATCGCTATAGCCGTGGAAACTCGCTTCTCGTTATTGTTTTTATTCGCGAAACAAAACAAAAACCGTCGGCCGGTATTGGATTTTCCGAATGTAAAAGGAAAGGAGAGGCGAAAAAAAAGGATAAAAGCCCGCGCGATACTGCGCGGGCTTTTCCATCATGAAATGTCGCGTTTCCGCATTCCTCATTCCGCATAACGGCGAGCGCCGAGGGAGGAGACGAAGAAGTTAGGAAATGGTTGAATTTATCAAATATTCGGATGTTGAGTCAAATTGACGACGCGCGATGAAAAATGTTTTGATGACGGATTTCCTATAAGCTCTTAAGTGATTCCGGTGAACTTTAACTTTCTGTGTGGAACATAACACGGATGAAACAAAATTAAAAGGAAATTAATAAGAGGATAAAGTTCAACTCATTAATAAAATTTAATGAATTTAGTTGTTATTTGTCTATAACAGTAACTATAATTAAGAGTTGATTATCATGAAATTATATACTCGCCCCTGTACGGAGGATATACACGCGTAATAATTCTCTAGTTAAAATTATAGCAAATTGTAAAGTGCATTAACTATCTTAGATCTAATTTCATCGTGCGCGCACGCGCGCGCGTGTTTAACTACAACAAAGTAATATTTATAGATCCAAAAGATATATTTATAGATCCAAAAGATATCAATAGTAAGCTAGAAGGTATCGACGCTGCTATCTCTCTATCCTCGCTTCAAGTATTATTAATCCTCACAACTGCTTTTGCTGAATACGCCAACTTTTTTCGGCGCCTATAAAAAGTATCGATTTTTATTTATGTACAATGACATTAAGAGCGCAGTACAACATCCCGAAGATATCGCTTGATTATACAGAGACGGGACAACAAAGTGACATCCGAGAGAAATCGCTATTCGCCATCCTCGCACACGATATCCTTCGCCAGCCTCGTGCGGCCAAGGACACGTCGCGCGGCCGTCCTTGTCGCGTTACGCCGATCTCCTATATGCACTCGAAATTGACGTCACCGGTGCCTCCGGATCGTTTAGTTATTTCCATGCCGTACCTCTGCGGACGGCTCTCGCGGTCCGGCGGCGGCGGCGCACCGGAATTTCCACTTTTTCACCTGTTGAAAATTCCAACCGATTCCCATGGGGCTCGGTTGGAGGCGGTGTGCCCCGCCTTTCGCGCGCGCAGTGTGGCATCCAAGTTCTATTTCTAGGTTCTCCCTGACGACGACGACGACGACGACGATAACGACGAGCGTCAGGCCGACGTGGCGAGCCGCGCCGCGTCGCGACGCCGTGTTTCCCGAGTTTCCGGCGCCAGCGTCGATGTGCGTTACGCTCGATATTTTAAGTTCCACCCAGGACAGCGGGGCGCTCTCCCCACAACCGATCTCTTCTCCTCCCTTTGCCCTCTCCCCCCTCCTCCTCCTCCTCCCTTTCTATCATCGTTTCCGTTCTGCCTGTTTTTCCCTTCTTCGGCGTTGCTCCATCTCCCACTTAAATGTTATCGCTTAATCCTAGAAGTCCACGTGCGGTCTCTCCGATAGACCTTATTATGTTATGTCTCTTTCACCCTGCGGCCTCCTTATTTCGCCAGGATTATCGGAGCGAGTGAGACAATATCGTCCGCTTGCCATCATTAAAATTCCTTTTATCGCGACCCTTAAGTAACGCATTCTCGCGTTTTCCTATTTTTCTTCTCAAGTTACGTAACGCGATGTCCGAGAAGCTGCTTTAAAAGTCTTAGTCGAGGCTTTTAAACTTGTAAAAGTTGCACGAAGAGAAGACTTTACGGTAGTAATTATTACTTGATAAAATGCCTAAAGGATATTTTAATAAGATGTTTAATATTTAGTTTATTTCTTTGGATAAGACGGTTGATAACGAACGCGAGAAGAATGTCGTATGGCATTTTTTTTCTTTTCCCTCTTGTTATATCGTATTTTAAGGACAAAATATTTGCACTAAAACTTGTAAGAAGAATTCTATTTTATTCCATTCTATTGTTGTTGCTTGAAAAGATTCTCTTCTGGCCGATGCGTTGCCTCGGAGGTCGACACCGGCTCGGTCCTCGGCGAAGGCAAACACCTTTCTCCCTGTTCTCTTCTTTCTTCTTTCTTCTCACTTTCTCTCTTTCCCTCCACCTTCTTTCTCCTCGATTCTCGCGGCTCGCCGAATCTCGACCCTCGCGCTCATGCGAGTATCCGAGCTTCCGCGTGACTAGCTGAGCGACCGCCTCGCCTCGGGGCCACGATTTCTTTAAGCGATTAAAATGCGAATTTTGCCAAACACACTCGATTCATAATCGCCATGGGGTCAGTCGAGATACTCGTATCACTTTTCGTCTCGCGTTCTTATTTACGCGGCTTATTAATGAACGAAATAGGAAAGTATAAATAACATATTGCCTTTGCGTAACCTCCAGAAGCGCAGACGAGAGAAAATATGGTATTAAATGGAGAGAATTGGAGATTTCAAACATACCTTGAGCTCAATTTTTCTTTCTTTTCTCTCCTCGCTTTCCGAAAGTTATGTAAAAGTGCCACTTGTCGGCTCAGTTGTTTTTACTCCACGGTCTTTCGATTGTTCTTACTCGTCGTTATAAACGATACTTAGTTTTTCCACGACGTTGTTAACTTACACGGATTTTGTTCTGTTATTTTTTCAGAACTAAATGATGGTGCTAAGGGATTCAACGGGCAAGCATGAGGGAAAGAACACCCTCTGCCGACGACACCCCGAAAAGGGCCCCACCGGCACCCAGCAGAGGTGAGTCCCCTCAATAAAGATTCTAATGTTCCAATCTAATTTTACAGAGTAATGCAGCAATAAACAACAGCTGATGTATAGAAATGGGATAAATGTAATTTACGACGACATATTAATGGTTATATTTAAATCGCGAAAAACCTGCTTTCCGCGAGAGCTCTAACTCGCTTGTCATCAGCTTAAGAATCGCGCCGAGTCAACAACGTTCAGATAATGATGAGTTCTTTCGTATACGCGGAGTGTCATATCTCCACCGCCTCGTATTTCATCGATGCAAGTTGCCGATACCGAAGTGTGTTTCTGTAGATCTTCTTCTTGAATATTCCTAGAGGCTGGGCCCGATCACGAGGATCTTTAACGCCGCGAGTTAAATTAATACATATGGAGGGGTAAAAACCACAGTGGTGTAAGTCAAATTTTTAAAAATATTTTATCGTGTGCGCATAGATGCAATTTATATATTGTACAGATTGCATCTATGCACACAAGAAACAATTTTTAAAAATTTGACTTACACCACTATGACTTTTACTCCTCCATACATATATACACAATAGACACAGCGAAACCTTGCGCGTTTACCCTTATGTTAATTATCGATCGGGGAAAATTTAGTTTGCATAAGATTCGCAATGCAACCGTCGACCCCCATGCACACGACTATAAACGCGAACATGACTGCCGGATTACGATGGCGTAACGCGCAACGATTGTTTTCAAGGCTCCGACGAGGCAGCTACGATACTTACGTTTACATTTGCATCTGCGAGGCAGACGTACCTATGTCCGAGATAACTAGTCCTCCTCTTCTGCGAAGTTTCAGAGATGAATGAATGACGTTCAATTATATCAAAGTTGTGCGCGAAATAACGTAGATCCGTGGGCGTTCTTTAAACAAATTTCATTTAAAAGAAAACCAAACAAGTACACAGGCAAATTACAAATCATACGAACTTGCGACACTGAACGATTTTCTTTTTTATCGCAGTACGCGTATTCGCCGAGTCACGCTATTTTCTCGAGTCCGCGCGCTTGGGAATTGCAGAGCTCGACTTGTTCGTCCTTTACAAGCCACAGAAACTTGTTTCCTTAATCAAAACGATGTAAGGTACGCTAAAACCCGTTAATTTCAGCCTCATTATCCTCATTATTACCTAATCACCTTCGTCGCGGCATAAGTAAACGGCGCGGCCGTGGGGCGGTCGTCGCGTGCGTGTACGCAACACGGACGTATGTATATCGCGCGCGTATATCCTCGATACGTCGCGCGATCGAGGCGCGCGCGCGCGCGCAACTGTGCGCCGCGCTCGTCGCTCGTTGTTGCGCAACGCGCTACCGCGGTGTCCGTCACATCCAACGGATCTGCGGCCGGTTATGTATACAAAACACACGCGGGATTTTGAAAGTAGTCGCGCTGGTCGTGATCGTAATCGCCGCAAGTAGTTGGCGGCTGCGGCGTCGACGCCGCGGCTAACTAATATACAATAATTATCGGACTTGCTCGCGCGCGCGTCGCCGCGCCGGCGAATCCCGCCTGATAAACGCCTCGAGCGATAGCCGCACCGACCCGCTCCGATCCTCTCGATTAAGATACGCAGAATCCGGTGAAACGCCGTCCGGAGCGAGTCCCAACTCCACGGAGCGAGTGATTTGTGAGGCCCAACCTCGGATACGAAATGTTATTTCAAAACAAAAATTTCTTATGAATCGAGGACGTTACGTGTTGCTTCCGCGTTCGAATTCTTTCGGCTCCTCTCAGGATCTCTTTCCGGATTACTTATCGTTGGAATACCACCCCTATCCGAGAACTAGGAACCGTCCCAATATAGGGGGGAAATGTCGCCTCTGAAGAGGGAGATATTTTCCACGGAATTTTTCCAAGGGCAGCGTTTTCCCCGGAGGGGAAAAAAATTCCGCGGAAAATTTTCTTGGAATTATTTCTGGAAATTACTCCCTGAAATTATTCCCGGATGAAGAAAATTTCTCGGGAAATTATGTCTGATGTAATTTTCCGAGGAAAGTACTCTACGAGAAGATGGAGAAATTTTTATACCGACGGGAATGCAAATAAAGAGAGAAACGAGAAAAGACACATCCTTTAACTGGATACGTGAGGAATAATTTATTGATAAAGTATTTCCTTTTTTTATACTTATTATCATATATGATACGTTTTTGCATTGGTTTTTGTTAGCTCTTTCGTTATTCAGGCTAATGGTATAATTACAGATCACTGTCTCTGCTTAATATTAAGTGAATAACTTATGTTATTACTTCGCGAATTACCCGCACATGTATGTGAAGCAACGGCAAAAATTAATTATTCACTTTAGAGATTAAAATACGATGGAGAGATAAACTGCTCTGAGATAATCATGTTACTTTCCCTAGAAAATAAACGAGGTGATATTGTTCGTTATTGAAAATGTAACTCTTTTTTTTTTACGCGGCGATTTTGCGGCATTACATCGAACGGCTCCCGAAGATTTCCGGAATTCCCTGGAATTGCACATTCCTGACGGGCTCGGCTCTTTCGCAATTCTAACGATGATAAAGTCCCAACGGGTCTATATACTTCGCGTCGCGCAGAACCGTATAAAACGCGAAAGGGAGGGGAAAGCTCAGAAGAGAGAGACGAACGAGAAATAAATCGATATCGCGTGAAATGGGGGTGGAGGTATATATATCGGCATCGTTAATAGCCCGCGATAGGCAAACCATTAATTACCATTGTTGTCAATGCCTTTCGCAAAACGAACCGGATGGTCGAAGGGATTGTCGCGGGTATTGCTAAGCCGGCCGGTTTTTACCACCTCGGGGCTGTTGTCAGGGGCTGCGGTGTATGTCTGCGCGTGTACACACACACAGGCGTGTATGTGTGTATGTGTGTGATATACATGTACATCCGTCTGTCTCTCTCGCCCTTTCGGAGCGCACGCTACTCGTACAACCGTAACCCCTTTCGACGTGGCAGAGGGACGGTTATCGATTCTCGCAGCCTCCCTTCTCCCCGACTTCCGGATAAAAAAGTGTCGGCAGAGACATAACCGAGGAGAGCCTCTTTCTCTCTTTCTGATTTTCTTGCGGTGAATAATATCTGTTAATATCTCCATTTCTGATATTTTTGATTTTTTTTCTAAACGATAAATATATTTTTTTCGATTACTGTCTGAAGGATTCAATGCAAAGAATTGAAATGTAATCCGTGATTTGTAGAATTTATTCTAAACTTGCGAGTTGTTGATTTATTGTTGAATTAAATCCTTCTTGTGTGATTTGTAAATTATATTTTTTAACTTTTATGAAAAGTAATAAAATATTCTGGTATATTAGGCAACATTAATGACATTATGAAACAACTAAAAACAGAGATTTTAATATTTATTTATTTCTGAAAACAGAACGTAAAGAGCTAAGATGTATGCTGTTCATTTATTATTATTTACAGTTATATTGTAGTAGTAATCTTCGATTTTATTAACGTTGCTTAACGCTGGTCCATAGTTTATCTCACTTTCTATCATTTTTTTATTCACAAAAGAAAACTGCATCGACAAGATAAATTCAGGTTAATTAAATTTTTATGTCTACATTGGCGCGATTACAAAGGAAATGGAGAGTTAATAATTAAGAGTCAGTTAACCATCGAGTTTTATCGAAACGCGAGCAGAGCGGGAAATCAGTTGAGGTAATTGTAAGATTAATATTAAGCAGCGCCGGTAAACGGGAGGTTTTCACGATGAGATTACGTGAAACTTCGCCAGCCTTTGATAAATAAACAGCCGTCGTATTTCGCTTGTTTCTCAATGGCAACGATTTATCGTCCCGCGTGCCCCGTCCGCTTTTAAACAATTATCTTCGCGGTCCAAAAATAAATTACGCGATATCCGTCGAGGAGGGCTGAGAGCTTTAAACTTAAAACGCTTAACACTTCCCCGATGCCCGAAGCATTTCTCAGCGATCGAAAATACGGGGCACCGACGCGACGGGACAATATTTCGCGATGGTTTCGCGTTCGGAAGAAGGCGTCGCGTAAACGGCGACGGATTACAAGGAGAATCATCTCTTTTAGAGGCGGCTTCGGCGGACGTAGCTGGTAGCGAGACACCGAGCGACGATACGGCCGAGGGTTATCACACGGCGAAGTTGTCCGGCATCCCTACGGCATCCGGCTCGGCGTCGCCGTCCGATAGAATGGTAGCGTCGACGCAGAGCTTGGAGGATCTGGGCGTCGACCATCCCGCCAACGCGGCTGGGAGCAACGCCGACCGTCAGCAGCATCAACAACAACAGCAGCTGCAGGAACGCTACGGTCACGCCTATAGATCGTCGACGCAGACCGCCCAGGATAAGCGGTCGCGGCTGAGCAACGTGATCAACAACCTGCGCAAGAAGGTGCCGGATGGAGTTGCCGCCAGCGGAAACTCGGACTCGCCGAGGAAGGAAGAGGACGAGCGGAATAGCGTCGAGAGAAATCTGGAGACTCTAGAGAAGTACGTGATGACGGTGCTGAACGGCGTGATCAAGGACAACGAGGAGGAGGACAAGAACGCGGAGAAGACGACGGAGCTGGAGAGGCAGAGGAAAGATGATGAGGAGGAGGAGGAGGAGGAGGAGGAAGAAGAGGAGGAAGAGGAAGATCCAACCGGTACTCCGGTTAAGTCCGAGCCTTCGAGCGAGGGTGATATCGAAGCGGCCGTTGTGCCGCGATTAGAGGACTCCTCGACGGTGGAAAATACCGAAGACGCCGAATCCTCAGAGACTACAGACTGCTCGAATATAAAGAGAACGGCGGAGGAGAGTCTGCCGGATTCGGAGGTCAGAATTAGTCAAGATACAAAGCAATCTCCCTCGAGGATGGAGGAGGAACGCCTGGACGTTGAGGAAAAAGAATCATCCGAAGATGATCGAGGTGTTTCGAGAGAAAACAAGGAAAATCGAACATTGAGCACGATCATAATGGACAGGTTGAGCGAGCATCAGGTAGAGGAGAGGGCGAACGTCGACGACGGCAGAGGAAACCGAACGCGTGATGAACAACACGCGATCTCGGAAAACGCCGAGACGCAAACAATCTGCGGTGAACTGCTGAACGATCTGTTGAGCAGCGTTTATCGCACGATTGACGATCACGAGAAGCAAACGGCCGAGGACTGCGAGAAGTCGAAGAGGACCGACGCGACCGAGTCGAGGGTGAAAGTGACCAAAGACTCGAGCATCAATACTCAGGAGTTGCCCGTGACGGGCCTGCATTGCAGTCTACCCTTGGACAAGGTCGCGTCCGTGCTTCAAAACTGTCAGACGAGTGAATTATTGACTTTGCGACTCTCTTCGGGATCGTCTTCGTCGAGTCCCCCGTCGGCGCAGAAGTTGAAACCGTCATCTAGCACCACCCCACCGGTCAGACTCTTCTGTCTCTACTGCGACAGGAAGTTCCTGTCCATGTCCCTGCGGCAACGACACACGGAGCGAGCGCATCAGCTCGGGGGTGGCAGGAGATCGGAGAGGAACCTCCGAAAACCCTCCCAGAACTGTCAGTACTGCTCCGAGAAGTGTGCCGACACCCTGGAGGCGCTGTTCCAACACATGGTCGGTAGCCACGGGGATAAGTACCACGCGTGCGTTCAGTGTTCGACGAGGTATCCTACCCGGGAGGCTCTGGCGGGACACATGAGCGAGACGCACGGGGGAAACGTCGAGAGGATCGCCCAGGCTCAGGTAAATGTTGCGGAAAATCGATGAGCAATGTGAATGCTATTTCACGTGTCTTAGAATAGAATGTAGAATTTTTATGCTTTGTTCGATATTTATTGGACGTAAAAATTAGTAAATCTGTGAAATTTTTTTGTCTTTCACTCCTTTTATTCCATTTGTTTATTTATTAAATATCTATTACTGACATTATATCGAGTACATATATAATTTTCAAGTATATATCTTTTAAAAATTATTTTAATTTTTTCTTCTAATTTTATAGTTATACTATTTATAATCAAGATATTTTTTTTAGTTTTTTAATATATTTATATCTTTAAATCATTTAATAATTTTAAATTTTTGTAGGGAAAATGTTATTTCACTATAACAGAAACGAGAAATAAAAACAAAAACATCCCAAGGTAACTGGGTAATAAGTCGAAGCATTACATTTTTTGAAGGACAGAGAAATCCAAAATAATAGGAAGAATACTCACTTTTGTTTCGAATTCGACTCGAAAAGTTTCTATCTTGAAAACACTGTGAACTGTTAGACAAGCACATCTTTCTTCTTCCAGCCGGAAAAGATCAAAGAAGGCTCGCCCCCCTGCAAAGAATTTTGTGGTCAAAATCTACGTGAAAAGGTGAGCATGTCAGTTCGAGAGAGAAAGTCCGAAGAAAAGGAATCGGAGGATCCAGATGACAGTCGGCCATTGGACGGCAGCCGGACGAAACTCATTGCGGCGCGGGAGTCCCTCGATAATCCGGCCAGTCCCGAATTTGACAGTTCCTTCTACAGCAATGTGAGCTGCAACATCCGCGAGAACCTGCTGCACCATCTGGACGGCAAGCTGCAGCCACCGATTGCTACCTCAAGCTCGACGGCGGTGGCGATGACAACGGGATCAAAATCACCGCAGCAACAACCGCAACAGTCGTACTACGAGCACAGCGTCAATCAGATCCAATTTCCCATCGACATCTCACTGACCGCGGCCACGCCGGTTTACAGCAAGGACTACTCGGCCAGCGAGGAGTACGAAAACTCGAGCGAGTACGCCCGGAAGGCTGGTAAAACGAGCAGCGGCTCGCGACCGCGCCGTGTCTCTTTCGAGAAGTACAATTTTCCGCGCAAGTACGACGGCAGGGAGCAGTGGACCTGCTCGATCAAGGACCTCAGCAAGTTCGACATCTCCACGCAGCTGTCACTTCGGAAGAAGCAGCAGCTGATTAAGGAGCGCCTCACTATCAGCAGACTGCATCAGATCCCGCTGCTACCTTGCGAGACCACTGAAGTGTCTCTTCGCGATCAGGAGCAGACCGAGTCTGTCGTGGAAACGGCAGCGAGTAGTCAGGATAGCGTTGATGCTGTCTGCGTGGTCGACGCGAGTGCCGCGACTCTCAATGTCGTCCGCTGCGATGTTGACGAACCGCTCCCGAGCGAGATTAAGGAGGAGACGATCGAATTGTCCGCGACCTCAACGTCGTCGTCATTGAGTCCGACGATTATCACGGAATTCACTATTGAATTCTTAGACTTTATGAGACTGAGAAAGCGCGAGGAGGGCGACAACGAAGCGGCCAATGCTCAGGAAATCACTTATGCTGAGCTGAGCGGCGAGTGGTCGCGAACGCGGATCTACATCTGCGGCGCTTGCGGTTCCAAACACGTGAGTATATATTTCTACACATATATTTCTTCTTCATAATGTATAATATATTCGTTAAAAACAAAAATTGGATAAGAAATATCATGAAAAAAATACCAGTTAAATTTCGATAATTGTAATAATTTAAATTTTAGCTTTTATTTTCGGCAAATGCAAGTGTTACTTCTCTATCTCTTGTTTCCTCATCGTTTTATTATTCCTTGCAATAATTAAAACGATGTGATCGCGGTCATTTTGACGTATTATCAACTTTTTTATTACTTTATAAAACTGTCAACCGTTTTTTTATAAAGCGTTTTGTGTAATAAATATAAAATTTCTGTTTTAACATTGTAGGGCGTGTAAGCAGAACGTTTAATCATTCAATTTTGATATTCCAAATTTCTTAATCCAAGATATTATTTAAGGAAATAACAAATTCCGGATATAGCGACTACAAGAGATTAAAAACCCATAAATTATAAAAGATACGCAAGTTTTGAGTGGTATATGATTTTGAGATTATTTTAGTTTTTACTGTGTTGCAAATGGTGCATTTTAATTGGTGCGAGCGCGGTCTAGATAATTTATCAAGTAACGTACTTGATCTTTGACATTTGTGCGATACATACGAGTGGTAAGCATTCGCCCGCGAGCTTTCCAAATCACCGACTCATTCGTGACTTTGTCTCTACTGTAGTCTATTCACTTATCCACATATAAAACGAAATGCATGATTTATCTAATAAATCTAACTGAATCAGAAAATAAAACTCGTTTTTCTTAGCAATATAAAAATAACTTATTTATCTTCCTTGCATTATTGAGGAAAAAATCGAATAAAGGAAACCGTATAATATTTTGCTGTGCCGCGTTAATCCAGTTTACAAGAATTAAAACACGGTGTATTTGAAATCGATCGAGAGACGAAACGAAACGGAAATGCGACCTGAACCGTCGATGTTTCTGTGCAGGTGACGCTGAAGGAGATGGAGGATCATAAGGCTTCCACGCATCCGCGCGTTCTGTGCTCGCACTTCGACCTGGTTGGCGATCAACGCGAGCACTATAAGCATCTTTATTTGCCGGGACGAGACGCGCCCACCGACGCGGCACGCGACGCTTCTCTCACGGAGATGGTGTGCACCAAGTGCGCCAAGGGCTGCCCGAACTTGGGCGAGCTACATCGCCACATGCTGGAGTGCGGTGGCGATCAGGCCTGGTTGCTCGGCCTCACCGGTAGCGGCAAGAAGAAGTGTAAATGGCGGCCGTTCGGTAGTCGCAGCCGTCGACGGCGTCAGCGCGGCCCGAAGAGAAACATACAGAACTCGCAGACACAGCCACGGGTTATCCATGTGGAGCGATTCAAGGAGAAGCAGACATCAACCGGTCCTAGAGTCCGGCCAAGCGACCGTAAGAACGAAATTTGTTTTCAATATGATAAAGTTTCGCGTGGAGGCACTCTAACTTTCCATGTCAGCTTCTTATCTCACGTACTTTACACGAATAAACAAATAAGATACAGGAAACGGATCAAAGATACAAGAAGAAGTAGATTAAAAAGATGATGCGCTTTTTACGGCGTGGATTATTTTCTGATAAAATATATTACCTTTTTTTACATAATATTACATGAGTCGTAAATTAAAAAGTATCGATAAAAGGTGTCTGAAGTGTGATGCATGTGATCTTCGCTTACGATCTTCAAATTTCATTGCCAGAAGAGGAACTTAAATGAACTTATTTACCAAGAGATTCACCAAGTTTTAATTATCTTAGATATTAATCTTAGATATTAAGATGGAATTTACAAGTCGTTGCAGTATCTTCACGATCGATCGCTCGAATTTGTTCTCAGGCGAAAGCATTCAGAAAATGCTAGCCAATCTGCCGCCTAAAAGAGCCACGAGGAAGGTTCTGCAGGAGAGCATGATGCGATCGCAGGGCCGACTTCGTAACGTAAGTAATTTAATAGCGCGGAACAATGACTAGCTTTGCCTCAATAATACACTCGATCAAAATTGGGTCGATATTAGAACCATAAAGGGTGATTATAATAGCCGACTGATTTAATTAGAACGTCGACAGTGTAATATCTATCTCATTAATATCTTAATGGACTTTTTATGGTAATACAGTTTGATATTATCCTTCTGAACCATTTCGATGAAAATCATACATGTCGTAATACTAAAATTAAAATTGCTCAATAAAAAGCTACTTAGAACGTACGTCTTCCTCAATCTGTCGTCTCGATCGTCAATAATTACTTCCAATTACATTTAAATTTTCATTATCCGAGAAAGTCACTCAATTCTTTATAATTCCCTACGGGCAGAAAAATCGGCGTAAACGGTAAATGATAAACGAGACCGATTGAAATCGTAGATATGGTTTGACATAATTTTGTGTATTATCAAGATAAATTACGTAAACAACGAAATGTCGTATAGTCGGTCAAAGCTTGGACGGCGCGAATATGCCAAATAATTGAGGGAGAAAATCATGAAAAACTCGAGACTCGTCGAAATAATGATAGAGCGTTATTGCCTTGCGCGCCTCGTCGCACACGAGCAGAGGCATCGATTAGTTGACATACGCGCTCGTCGAAGTATACATTCCCATGATCGTGCACACATTCGCGCAGGCAGGGTGATTTTTATGCTGCCGTTGTATTCGTTTTACTTTTTTTTCGATAAAAACGCTAGATTTCTTGCTTCAACATGCTTTTTTATCCTTATTGTTGCAAAAGTAAATTGTAAATAAAAGCGTAAGATAAAATGTTATTAGCTTCTTGAAGACAAAAGCTTAGAATTCTGTCTCAATGGCAACGAAAAAGAATTTATCACTGCAAAAGCTGTAGCGACATCTTTGGGCTTTGTTGAAACAGGTGCAGACCAGAACGAGGCCTCGCATAATCGGCGACAGCTCGTCCCGAATCTCACGTAACAAAGCCGCCCTGAGGAACAAACTGCTGAAGAACGCCAAGTCGATTCAGCGGAATCGCTGTCGAAGCGACAACATCGCCGCGGTGATCGAGAGCGTCGTGAGGAAGTGTCACGAGACCGAGAAGAAATCCGACGGCGATGGCGAGAAAAGCACCGAAACCGAGAACGAGGGTAAGAAGGATGCCAAAGAGGTGAACGAAGGTTCGTCGAAGGCGACCAGCAAAACTTCGGATCAGAGTGATAGAACTGCTCGACCGAGACCCGTTGGACGACCTAAAGTTCTCGGTAAGAGGAGGAACGTGAAGAACCCGCAACTTCAAAGCAAAAGCGGTAACAAGTTGGCAAAAGCGATGAGTAAGTTCGCGAAGTTCAGGAATGGCACTGCATCCGAGACGAAGGGCGAAGGCGAGGAGACATCCTCCCCAAAGAGTACACCAAAGAATGCAAGGACGACGCCGAGAGCGATTGACAAAGACGAGGGTGGTCTCGACAGCAAGAAAATGTTGACGACTCCTGGAGTAAGGAGCAAAAATAAATTGACGCAAGGCATACTGAAGAGAAGGCGTTTCGTGGATCCGGTGGCTTCCTTGAATGCCTCTCTTAAGGCAAAATCGCAGTTACGAACGCAGGACGGTAAGTTTGCCCGCAATCCGAACAAGGGTTTGTCAGCGAAATCGGAAACAAAAACGGACGACGGGAAACACAAGGCGGACTCGATTGAAATCAAGCCTAAGCTGAAAGCGACGCAGAAGTTGAAGAAAACCGAGGTCCAGCTGCCACGAAGAGTCACCCGGCTATCGTCGGATAGTGACAAGATGCCGACTTTGGAACCAGTCGTGCAGATCGTTTCCTCCAACGAGGAATATGTCGATAAGTCGGCGAACGATCTGCCTATCTTGTCGCCAGTGACGTCGTCGGGATCTCTTCAGGATCAAAAGACATCCCGAAAGTACGTTTTGAAGGAGAAAGAGGGTAATGTCGAGGCTAATACCGATCTCGAGGCTGTTTCTGAAAAAAGCAAAAAAGTGCAAAAATCAACGAGAGGAAGAAAGCCAAAGGAGAAAACGAAAAACATAGCAAAGCAAAAGAAGATTAATATAGTTGAAGAAAACAAAGTTTCCAAAAATAACTCAGCGGTGTTAAAAGATGATAAAATAAAAGGAAAAAAGAGTTTATCGGTGAGTGCTAATAGCGGCGAAAATAGCAAAGAAGAAACGTCAAAGAGAGAGACAATCGCCAAAAAAGATTCTAGATTGAGGAAGGAAGAAGTAACGAAGGAAACTCGGAGCAACTCGAAAACCAGAATGGATAAAGATTCCGTGAAATTGTCGGATATTCCATTCGAGGTAAAGAAACTGCTGGGTTCGGCTAGCAAGGAGGATCTTTTGAGTACACTGGAACTCGCGTCTAACGACTCGAAACGCATCCTGAGGCAATCGACACCCAGATCGAAAATACTTCAAGTGAACGACAAGAGTCCGCGGGAACTCGATGACGAATCGGATGGATCGAAGGGCACGAGCAAGAAGGAGAAGACTGAAGCGTTTAGAAAATCGTCCAGGAAAAAGAGCGACGATAAGATGGCAAAAACGAATCTAGAAAAAGATTCGTCTAACGCGAATGCTAATGCGGCGCAAAACGAAAGAAGTCAACAGGGTAAAAGAGACAGAACAGCAAAAACGAAGGAGATTGCGGTTGACAATCCCGATGTGGAAGGTAAAACTGATGGCAGACAAACGAGAGGATCATTGAGCGATGCCAAAAGTGAGCCTACTTTGGAAGTCGCAAGCGATAGCTCCCGGAAAGGCAGTGGCTTGCTGGGGAAACGTCGCAGCCGTAGATCGATCGACGAAGATAAAGAGACTAACACGCACACGTCCGAAGAACAGAACAGCAACGAAAATGTTATGTCGATCGAAAAGGAAGCCGAGAAGGAACTTGATGTCTGTAAGAAGGATAATGAAGACGAAAGTGATAAAAATTCCGATGATCGCTTAGACTCGACGGTAGTGAATATCAATTTGAGTCACCTGCAGTCGGAGACGAGCAACCTGTCCATCGACAGCGGTAAGGAAAACTCGTTGGAAACTCCCGTGAACGTTCACACCAAGGTGAAAGTAGGAAGACCTAAAAAGACGTGGGGCGCGCGCCGCGAGAAGTCGTCGAGGAAGAGATCCTTGAACAACGTCATCGGTATTCTGACGGAAGGCATGAATATTCCCATAGAAGCGCAGCAGAACGTACAGGTGCTCACGGTTCAGACCAGTCTGGATAATCCGGACAGGGTAGCGCGAAACGGAAGCGCGCAACAACCAAGCGGTGGCGAGGTGACCGCGGTGGACTCAGCATTCAGCGAGCTGTCGATCCTCGCCAAGAGCGAAGAAGAATCCACGGAGAACGAAGCCGTTACGGCGGCAAGCACGACCGACACTTCTCACGCAGACGATGAGAAGAATGCTTGTCCTGATGAGACGCAGGTCGAGAATGCCTTCGTCGACGTATCGTCGAAAGTCACAACTGTTAAAGCGTGTTCGCCAGCCAACGACATCATCCTTGATCTGTCCAGAAGAAAACCCAAGGGCAAGGGCTCTTTCTTAGAGAAAATTGTGTCGAAAATAGCCAAGCAGAAGGACGCTCTGCTAGAAGGTGAGGTAGGTTCTTTGCTTGACACTGCGGCCGATGAGTTGACCAGCATTCTCGATGAGGTCGGATCACCTACCTTGGCTGATAACGCGGAGAATGCAAATTCTGATGAGGCAAGCCATGTCTCGAAAAACAACAAAGATAACAGTGCGACAATTACACCCACTGATAAGGAACTATCGGCAATCGATTCTGAAATCCAAGCGTTGGAAAACGACAAAACCAATGTCGAGAGTACGATTTCCAAACATTCAACAGATTCCTTAGATGCTTCAGACAATCTCGAGGAAAACTTGGCGACAAAGACTGAAACGCAAAGCGAGAATCAAACTAAAGTAAGTGATGTTTCAGATGTTGAGATGAAGAGCGACGATGATGTGGACAGAAAGATGAATGATGCAATGCCTTCTGTTGAGGAATCACATGTTGAATCTTACGGAAATAAATTGATAACGAATAAAGAAGCAGTTATTTCAATAGAAATTCCAAATAAAAGTCCTACCGATACTTCAATTTCGCATCCGTTAATTACGCAAAAAGAAAACTTAGAAAAACTCGAAAGAAAGGGAAGAGTCACGAAATCCAGGAGAAAATCCAGGAAAAGGTCATTGGAGAACGCAAGCTCTAAGAAACGTAAAAAGAAACCATTAGAAATCGTCGAAGATCGCGCTGAAGAAGATGTGCAGAAGGAACTCCGGCTGAGCGACATCATCACGTCCAAAGACACGTCCAATGTTGGAAATGAATTTTCAAAAGAAGATAGCAACATCGTGGAGACTTCAAACGCAGATACCGAAATTGAGAAGTCGATGTCGCTTCAATGCAGCGAATACGAAATCATCAAGGATGATTTGAAATCATCGACTTTAGAGAAGGACCTCACAAAAGCTAATGATGAATCGAGTTTAGAAAAGTTCACCGATCTTCCAGAAGTAACTTGTGAAAATGCGAAATTAACGGTAAATCTTGAAGAATCCCTTGACAAAATAATTTCCAACAAAAATGCTGTTGTAAACGATGTTCGATCGACAGAACTGGTTGAGAAAAGCGCTGATTTTTCGATATTATCTTCAGAGAAAACCGTTGAATGTGGAAAATTTGCGAATAAGACACAGAAAAAGGATCAAACTGATACGAAGGAGCCTTCGTCTAAACGTACATCAAAGAGAAAATCGCAACCTGCCTTAACTTCTCCGATAGATGCTGCGACAGATACTCTCCAAACTTCCGTAAAACCGACTGACGAGACAGAAAATGTATCATTTTCATCGTCTATTGTGATAGAACAATCTTCGGAATCAACTGATGTACAACCGACAAAAATTGGGACCACTAGCGAAGACTCGGACGTTCCTTTAGAAAAATTATTGTATTCAATGGAAATGTCTGGAAAACATAAAGAGACACAAAATACAAACGATTCAGGTCTCGTCAATTCAACGCCTTTAAAAACAACGAGAAAACGTGGCGCGAAGAAAAAGTCATTGGCCGATGAGCATCTAGAACTATCGGAAGACAAGCCTGTCGAAGTTGCTTCGAAACGCAATGACGAATCCAGCATCGCAGATTCTAACAAGCAATTATCGGCTAGCTTGGAGAACTTCAAAATACCGGAAGTAAAGGATCTGCTGCAGAGCGGGAAGAAACGAGGCCCGAAGAAGAAATCGCAGCCCGAGGATGGTCGCTTTAACGGCGGAAGCATTCCCGAAGAATCTCGGGCGAGCGAGGAACTTGCGGAGAACAGCGAGATGTCCAACTTGGTCGAAGAGAAAGTCGAAGAACAAGAAGAAACGGAGAAACATGTAGAAGAATCGAGCACGAAGAGGCTCGAAAGATCGAGTTCTTCAGGTTCGATCGGGCTTACTCCACCTTCAACCAAGACGAGATCTATGTTCAAGAAAAAGACACAGCTGTCGAGCGAGGACCTTGCCGATTCCAGCACTCGAAGTCAGGGTGCCGAAAGCACGGACGACCTGTCCGAGAGCTCGTGCGTCAGCGAGTCCAGCTACTTCAGGAAGAAGCGATTCGCGAAGAAGAAGAAAAAAGAGGAGACGGTAGCTGACGATAACGCGCGAGACGATGTTTCTCTCACAGATTCGATAACGTTGAAGAGCGATAAGCAAAATGCGAAAAGGAAGACGAGCAAAACCAGATCGTTGCTCGACGAGCATCTTGATCTCTCCGACGCGGACGACATCGACATTCCGATGGACATCCAAGCTTCATTAGAAAATGCGGAAGCGTTGGAGAACATCGAACGAGAGTTCGAACTCACTGAAAAATCTTCGGATCTGCAAAACGAAGGCGCAGACAAGCCAACGGATGATACGGAGGACAAAGATTCGTGCGCCACATTAGAACGACCGGCATCGAATAATGATTCTCCGGATAATCCGGTCACTCCGAAGAAACGTGCGGCTGGCAACTTCGTGGTCGTGCATACAAAGACCGGCGAGATCCTGATCGTGGAGAAGCGGAAGAAGCTAACGAAGGAGGCGGCGAGATTTTTCTGCGACGTGTGCGCCACCAGCTTTACCCGCAAGAGCTCCCTGAAGAAACATACGTTGTCGCAGTCGCATCTATCGCAATTGACAAAATCCACCAAGGAGAAAATCGAGCCTGTTGACAGCAGTACATCGGAGAATGCTGAAGAATACGATGACGAATGGAAGAGTAACGATCAACAGACGGAGAGCGTTCCAGAAGACACTCGGTCTCATGAAATCGTCCGAAAGTCTTTGGAACCAGACGAGAGTTACATTCCTTACGTAGCTAGCGCGGAATCGACGAAGCCTCTGGTGGATCTTGGAAACACAAGACAGATGTTGGAAGATAAACTGCTGGACGAAGAGATTTGCAAGATCACCGAGAATATGAGTCATGACGAGTATGTTCTGACCGATCATGTGACACCGGATGAACCGATGTTGTCGTCGACGCCGATCAAGCCCGTCAAAAAGCAGCAGGAGGAATCGGTACGAGGCAAGAACGCTGACAAGAAGCGGAACAAGTCGAAGAAGAGGAATCTAGCGGAGGAACATTTGATCTTGGATTCCCCCGAATTGGAAAAATCTAAAATCGACTCGGATAAGCTTTCAAAACCAACTAACGACGTCGTACGAATTTCCTCGCCATCTTGCGACCGTACTTTGACAAAAGAAACAATGGAAACAGTGGAAAAGGTTGAAGATGTTTCTAATAAATGTGTAAATATTGATGAAATAAAGAATCAGTCGGAATTAATTGTTAAATCTTCGAATGAAGAAACAAGTTCAAAATCAGCATGTGATATCGATGCAAAAGCTGAACAACGAACAGAATCCAGGACCACGAGGAGAACGCTGAGAAAGCTCTCCAAAGTGGATAATGAGGGAAAAGAAGAGACTTCAGCTTCAACCGAGACGAATCGTTTCAGCCTGAGACCCAGAAGAAGTAGAAACATCCAGCATTACGAGGAATCTGACGTCGAAGCTGATGTATATTTTATGGACACCTCTATGGAGATTAATAGCGACGAAATAGAAAGTAATCATGACGCGCAAAAGGGACAAGACGAAGTGGAAGAGGAAACAAACAAGAATGTATTACGGGAGAAGACGCGCGTTGACGCCGAAGATAAGAATCCGCAGGATGCGGAAGTCGCAAAATCAAAGACAGACACGACGAACGATACTAAGAAAAGGAAACGTGGCAGACCGAGGCTTAAGAATCGAATTGTTCCGAATTCCGGTATCGTTTCAGCTCACACAAAACCCGAAGTTAATGAAAATGATGTTGCTACGGACAATCTTGACGAATCAAAAATCGAGGATCAAAAATTAGATTCGCATATCAAAGAGCGTCTTGACGAGGCCGGCAAGGCGCCACATATTGATGCAAGTGCCCAGCCTTCTAAACGGAGCAGGGGCAGGCCTAGGAAGAATCCTATACCAATTACAAACAACTCTTCAGTACAAGCAGATAATTCGAGTGCTTCCGAATCGACGAAATCAAATCACGATGAAGTGAAAGAAGAGACAGACGCGACTGAATCGCGTTCCAAAACGATTATCGAAGAAATTGCATCGATCGGTTCTTTGATACCGAACGTGGAGTCTTCGCCCGCCGTTCAACAGCACGCTCCGGAATCGAGTTTATCGGAAACGAAGAAAGATTTATTAAATGCTGAAGAGGCTCGAAGCACCGAGCCGAGCGTTTCCGAAGATCAAATGGCGCAGAGAATAGAATCTACGGATATTGAAGCAGACGATACCGTACTCGTAGAGAATTGCAAGAATACGCTTACCTTCGATATTCCACCAGAAAAAGTCGAAATATTGATGCCATCAGAAATAAATACGTCTGTTGATGATGCAAAATGTATGCTAGAAGACAAACATAACGACGATACGAGCGTGAATATTTTAACGAATCTAGCGACCGAGTCTTCAGCTGAGCTGTCCCCACAAATTACCGAACAGGTACCGATCGACGATTTGAGATCGATTGAATCAAAAGTAACCGACAACGATGAGAGCTTCAAGGTTCAGAAACTAACAGACATCTCGGAAGAGAAGCCAACAAAACCAGAAGAAGAATTTCCCGAAGAAGTTCCCGAAGCAAAGCTTTCAGGATCGGAAAATAGCGAGGACGAAGCTTTAGTCACTGACGATAAATCTCTTCCCGTCGCAAGTTCCCATGAATCTCAGAAAGTAATAGATAAATTAGAGAATGATAGCATTTGCGACGAAAAGACGTCTCGACTAGAATCATCTAACAAGAAATTATCCAGAAAGTCGACGAGTAAAGAACGAGAAATCGATCGCAAAAGACCGAAAACGTCCAAGGGCAGAAGGAAAAAGGTCAAAATCGCTGAACTGTCGAGCGACAGCGAGAACGATGATGACGGGATCGAATCCGTTGCTTCGAGCAAGAGCAAGATCGTGAAGAGCGTGTTCGGCCGAGTGTTCGGCGGCGAGAAAGCGGACAAGGTGAAGGAAGTGCTGAACGACTGGGTGTCACGGTCAGAAGACGACTCGGACATGTCCAGGAGTGCTTCCGAAGCGAGATCCTACCTGCGCGGACCGACAAAGTTTCCCGAGAACAGGCACAAGAAGGAGAAGAAGTGTCACCCTGGCTCCGAAACGAAGAAGGACACCGATCGATCACCCAGAAAGAAAGGAAACGACAAGTTCGGTAGTGAGGCTCACGGGAAGGCGAAGAATCGGAAGAAACGAGAGAAGGATGTCGAATCGATATCCGAGGATCGCATCGAGTCGCCCATCAATCCGGCCAAGCGGAGACACAGAGAGAGCAAGATCAGGGCGGACGAGAAGATCCTGAGAACCTTCGATGACGAGTCGCCGACTGTTTCGGAAGACGACAAGATTAAGGGAACGAACGATCAGATTAACAATGAATTGAACGATAAGGACAAGGAAACGAGGAGACACCATGAAAAGGAAACGAATAAGGAACGGACGAAGGATAAGAATTTGACCTCCGAAAACTGGGAGAGTCTTCGAGTCGATCACGACGCTCACGGAAAGTCGAAGAATAGTTCCAGCCATCGTAAAAAGCAAGACGAGCGTTCTTTCTCGCCATCGCAGTCCAATGTGTTCAAGCACAGACGGAGGGAGAGCAAGACCAGAGCCGGCGAGAGGATCTGGAGAGCATTCGACCACGAGACTTCATCGTACCTTTCCGACTATCAGGATCTCGACGAGACGCGCCGGATTTCTAACGAGCAGGAGAGTGAGTTTTACGAACCTAAAAACTTGAATCGTTCGGACAATTTGAAGAGCGTTAAACAAAAGGATGAGGACGCTTGGAAAAACGCCAGTTTGACGGATCGGGAACAGAGCGGGGTGCACAGTGGACGCGGGAGGCTCAAGAAGGACTCGAACAATTGCAGAAGACAGGATTCTAACGTGATTAAAATAAGCAAGACGAAAACGAACAAGAAGGTTCCAAGAGACTTTGATAACGATCCGTCAATTCCTTCGAGAGATCAGGAAACGAAGGACGAAACGCAAAACGATCAAACGACACGATCTACAAATGAATCGAGGAATCGTTCGAAAACTTCGATCAAGGATAATGCTTATGAGTCCTTCTATGGCGACTCGGTTGTTTCGAAACACACGAATAAAGATCAAAATAATTTGCTAGCACATTCAGATCGGTCAACCAGGAAGAACAAAAAAGGGATCGTCAACGAGGATTGGAAACGGTCAGCGAGAAACCTAGAATTCAATCAGGAGGATGATCAGCCGACCGAGAAGGAAATTGGACGAAAAGACGAAGAGTCTGCGATATCGTCGCACAGTTGCAGCAGTTTAGCGGCCGAAGGATCAATAATAAAGAATCAATTGACCGATTTCGATGGAAATTCTCAGACGAATCGAAAGTCCGATGACAACGACGACGAGGAGGAAGAGAGCGACAACGATCTCGGACGACAAAGAATGTCGCCGTTCTACGCTCGCGAGACTCCCGATAGCTCGATAGAGAACAGCTCCAACGAGGAAGAGGAGGAGGAGGAGGAAGAGGAAGACGGCGAAGAGGAGGAAGAGGAGGAGGAACGTATAACGCACGAGGATAATTCCAGGAAGACGAACCCTAACGAATTTTCCGGAGAGAAGATCATCATTAGATCGCCGTCGTCGGGTCACAGATCGGATGTGGTGACGATCGCGCCCACAGACGCGATCGAGGACAACGCGTTGGATGTGCCGCGGGAGATCGAGTCGACGATGGAGCCGCGGCAAGGCAAGATCCTCAACTTCGACGAGGAGCTCTTCGTGGAGTGTTGCTCGAGATTGAAGGCCACCAGCGAGAACGAGCTGAGAGGCGCGAAGAAGATTAAGCTGGACCACACGGAGTCATATCATAAACGGGACGAACAACCACAGGGATTCAGGGTCAACAGAGACCGATGGAGGGACGTGGAGAGCCAAAACAGTCTCGGTAGTCTTCTGGAGTCAGTGAATCAAGTGAGTATTATACGTTGGGAATTTTTACACTTGAATAAATTATCGATATAATTGATGAATTATTAATTATATTTTAATGAGTCAATTATCCCATATATACAAAACAAATGTGTTATTATCCGTTTGATCTGAGCTATTTAGTGATATGATAATTAAATAAATATAAATCTTTCAGCGATTGATCAACGGTAAATCACGAAATCGTTTAAAATTTGACTATATATTTATTTAATAGATTAAATAAATTTTTTGCTATCAAATTGTGATTTGATTAATTGGCGAAAGGATTAACTTCAGGTTTCGGATAAATAGAGTTATAAGTTTTAAATATGCTTTGCTATAAAGTTAATTAAAAAGATTAATGTATTTGATACATATAAATCATTTGATCAAAAATTACATTAATCTTTTTAAAATTAAACAGAATTATAATGAAAAGTACATAATGTGAGGTATATATATCGCTTGGAAATTCTAGTTGCTCGGCGAGGAGATGTGCAACAGCCACGATAGAAGCTATCGAACGCGTGGCAGCGAACGATCGAGCAGATCGGCCAGTCCGGATGCGTCGCGAGTCGACAATCTCGGTTATGAGGACAGTTTGGACGTAGCATTCGAACACAATAACAAACTGCGAGATAAGATCCAGCAGCGCATGAGGGAGAGCGAGAATCTGATAGCCAGCACATTCGGCCAGAAAATCAACGACAACGATCATCCTGACGACGACAAGCGAGACAGCGTTGGAAACTCGTACTCGTCGAGTATTCACGAACACGAACAGCTATCAACGTCGGTCGTGTCGAATAGAGAGCAGGAGACCTCGCCGGGACACAAGAACAAGGTGAACTCGACTCTAGGCGGTCTACATAAGGCGCTATCCAACTTGTTGCACAGCAACGGCAAGCATGATCATAAGTGAGTATCTCGATACTTAAATTTATGCGTCAAATCTGCACTATAAATATTTTCGTTGTGTGATCGTATAGTGAATAGTTTCGAGAAAACAAATTAATATTCTATCAGCGTAAGAAGTACGTTATAATAATGAGCTTTCCAGTTGGGCGTGGATAAGTTTGATAAGTTTGATGAGATTCTGAACTCGAGGAAGACGAAGATTCTTTAAATTCATACTTCATACTTCGTGAATAAACTCGCGAAATTTTCTTGACCAGCTGTCATTTACAGACTTACAAATTACTGATACCAGAATCTTGTTTTTTTTTCCGCTAAGTATAAACTTGACGATTTGTTCTCCTATATAATTCACAAGAGAGCTCAGCTTATTATCCTATTTTTATGATGCTATGTACGGACATGCTTAATATTTTAAATACGTTTCTTTAAAATCCCATTTTGATATGAAAGCGCGGAAAGACATTCAGAGATTAATAGAACGCATATGTGACGAAACGCCGAGCTAGGTGATTAAAAATATCTCGCTCTATTTTGCAGGACGGCTCGCGCGTATCAAAGCGTATTTTTCAGTTTCGCATCGGCTCAACACCTGTTGATTGCTCGTTTATCTGGCCGCGCGGCCATACGTTTTGTTTTCACCCGATTCTTCGATTACGCTAAACTAGATGTAGCGTATGATTGGCGCGTAGAGGACAGTCGGATTTTTCCTGGAAAAAAAATCCCCGTGACCCGACTGTTGCGTCGGGTGATTGTCTTCCCGCAGGGCTCGAATCGAGCTGTGTCGAGCGACGTTACGTAAAAACGCATACAACCCGTAATACTCCGGCGATTGTTATTTGTTCCCTCTGCCAGTCTGCCTTCTTCATTCGGAATGCAATTATTCGAGCGTGTCGAGGCTCTATTTTCACTAAGGACGGTCGAGAAACCATCGTCGAACGATGCCCATCCGTTCGCGTTGCGTATTGATCCGCTTTCGTCACTCCACTCCGTACGCGATGGACGATCTCTCCCACAAACAGCACCGACGTGTAGCGCCTTGATGATACATGGAACTTGATATGTGGCATGTAGGGAGCACTATCGTACCCCACGTTCATTATCCTGCTAATTTATTTACTAGCAAACACTGTTTTCCCAGGAATTTTTATTTGAAGAAAAAGAATATCTAAGTGCACCTTTCCTATAGCCTCCGGAAATGAAATAAAGGGATATTTCCACAATTATGTCAATTAATACAGATTCCATAATTTGTATCGACTCCGTTTAAAAAAAGAAACTTTTATTGGAGTTAAATGATTAAGGAATGATATTTATCATGTACTTCATGTGTCAGATTTATTTTTTATATATTGTTATTGGTTACATTTTTTGTTTCGTGCAATCTATGAGAGTTCATTAAATAATTTTATTTGATATTATTATAACTGTGTGTGTGTGTGTGTGTACAATAACGATATAGAATGTTCTTGTTTGTTTGCTATACTCGACTTTATTCGCTGCGGTGATTGACCGAATAACAATGCGCGTTTATTATTAAATCTAATTACTCTATTAAACCCTTTACAAAAACATACACATTCTTCAATTTCATATTTTATTCACCGATATACCGTTGACTAAAAATACTGTTAAAAAATAATTTCTCGCTTGTTTCTTTCATTGTCGTTAATCCAATTAAAACTTGTATAACAAGCCATCAAGAATGCAGAAGCTTTTAATAGATGATCACAATCATCTCTACGCGACCATATTTTCTATGCAATTAACCACATGATCACGCGTGGGTTTAATAATGAATCGCGCTGTATCGTTTATCGATGTATGAACAATCTCATTTAATAAAGCTGTTATAAACCAATTTTATTCCGCAGCGGTTCCGCTCCGATGAAGCTGCTGGCGGAATTGGCCTGCGCCCGAGCTCCGACCTCCACGTCGCCGGTGGACACCGCGAACAGCGGCAGAAATCATCAGTCGGTGAAGATGGTCGCGGCGGCGGTCGCGGCGGCAGCTGCAGCTGCAGCAGCGGCGGCGGTGGCGGCCAAAGACACCCCGATTTCCCCAAAGAGGCCGGCGAAGGACTCGACGGTAACGTCAAGGAATTCGCTAACGAAGAAGACGAGGAACCCGATCAAGGAGTTGTTCGAGCGCAAGAAGGAGATAAACGACAGAAAGGAGCAGGAACGCTCGAAGGCGTTCGTTGAGTTGAACGTGCAGAAGCAACGCAAGTCGAAGAAGAACAGGAAACAGCAGCCGGAGTTCCCGCTGATTCGTAGGAGCGAACACTACGGCGGTTTAGCAGAAAAGAAGAAACGTCGCGATTCTCTCGACCGGAAAGGGGAGTCGGAGAGGATAAAGGACGTGTACGAGTTCGACGAGGAGGAGAGTCAAATGGCGCCCACTCTGGGTAGCGTGTTGTCCTACAGGAGCCAAGTCGAGAAGAGTTTCGAGACCAACTGGTCGAGGATGAAGAATGTCGACGGAGACTTGGATGCCGTCTTAGAGAACGGCAAGGCGAATTACGTCACGGACACGAAGTTGGACGCTATGATCAACCGTAAATTCCAGGAGCTGGAGAAGTTTGCGCCAAAGACGAAGGGCGCCCTGAAGTCATTCCAGAGCGAGGAGCAACAGCAGCAGCGGGTCGCCGAGCCGATTACCGGACCAATGGACGAATTCGTGGAAAGAAAGCAGCAACGCGTGAAACGGCCCGTAGAGCAGGGCTCCAAGCAATCCGGCAAGATCAAGAAACGAGGTAAAGGCTCGAAGAAGCGAGCGAGAAACGCGTGGTACGAGAACGACAGCTCGGACGAGTTCAGGACGGCAGCTAAGACGGAAGACATCGGCGTTGGCATTTCGAAGAGTCAACGCTCGTGCTCGAAGGGCAAGCAGAACCTCTTCGCGGAGTTGTCGACGTCGTCCGAGAGCGAGTACGAGTGGGACGACGTCGATTACGCGATCGCGAACGAGCAACGTTCGTCAAAATCGAGAAAGGGTCCGAAGAAATTGTTCGACGTCAACATCGACGAGGCAGACGATCGACGCGTGGTCAACGAATCCGAATTCGACAACGAGGATCAAATCGCAAGCGATTGGAATCAAGTGCAGGTACAGAAAGATGCTATGAAGAACGATCACGACGGCGTGAAATCAGAGTCGGAAATGTCGGATCATTCGTTGGTGATAGACGAGAGGAAGATGACCGACGAGGCGAGGAACAGTGATGACGATGCGGATAATCAATACGAGAGAACGTTTGAGCTGGACGATTTGTATAGAGAAGATAGCTCGGATGCGGAGACAGAGATCGAAGAGAACGAAAAGCCGACCGTCGAAGAAGTGAAGAACAGAGCTGAAACGCATGCATTGGATGCAACTTTGCAGACGAAACTTACTTCCACAAACGCGAAAGACGATTGTACGGAGAATGAACTGATTTCCTTGGAAGAAGCTTTAGATCTCCTCGATCGGCACGAGAATCTCGATCCGAAAACTGAGAGTGTACGTGCGAAAAACAATATCGTCAACGGTACTATGGACGACGCTTTTAACGATGGCGTTATTAATGAGGAGATGGAGAACAAACGTTTGAGTCCTATAGAGATGCGAGATGAAAAGGAAGAAGCAGACGACGATGTTCCGGCTTTGCCCGAGAAACTGTCCAGCAACGAGAAACCGCAAAAAGAATCCGATCACAATCTTCCTCTTCACGTGTTCCTCAGCAGAAAGGTGCAGGAATCGAAAAAACGAAAGCAACAACAGTTAGACAAACTGCGAGAGGAGCAAGAGCGGATACTCCTGGAATTTCAGCCGACCAGAAGACAAAGGAAGTGCGCGATAGGCAAGCAAGGTCTACTGGCGGAAATAAGCAGCTCGGATGAGGAGTTGTACGTGAGAGACAGCAGCAGGAAAGGTAGCGATCACGACAAGTCGCGTAAGAAGAGGGAGTCGAAGGAGAAGAGGAAGGAGAGGTATCTCGAGAAGAAGCACGAACAGATGATTGCCAAGGAACAGAAAGCGATCGAAGAGGAAATTCTTCGAGAGGTCGGCAAGAGAAAAGAGAGTCTCGCACACAGCGCGGATGATACTGTCTCGAATACCGATGCCATGGAGACAGCCGTTTCCGAACAGATTCAAAGAAAGAAACATCAGACGAAGGAAAAGCATAAAAAAACTGGAGATGAACTTATTGACATGTGGTG